GGGCGGTTCTTCCTGCCGGCCCTCACACGGCTCTGCTCTAGCAGGCCGACACCCCCACGGGACTTCGGGCAGCGCCTTCCTCGCTCGCATTTACGGTCTCTGTCGGAGCCTCCTCAGGGCACCTTGGTCCCGTTCGGTACCACGCCCTCTCCAACAGACAGACACACGGCGGCCCGTGCGCAGATGGTACGGACGGACACTCTTCGCCACTGGACCCCTGACATCCACTCACGGCAAAGAGTCTGACAGCAGCAGTCAGCTGACCTGTGTCACATGCAACACAATCCCTCTTTTGTAGTTCAAGAAGCTGAAACTCAGACAGGGGAAGTAACTCGTTCAAGGTCAAAGTTTACGATTGCCAAAGCTGGTATGCAAACTCAGGCCAGACCACTTCCAAAATCCAAGCTCTTTCCACTGTGCAATGCAGAATGAAGAAAGGCCCTCTAGATCCAGGTCTGTGACCGACCTGTCCTTTGACCTTGAACGAATAACTGATTCCTGAGCTACAACCCAAGAGACTGGACAAGGCAACCTCAAACCTCCCTTCCGGTTCTAACGCTCCGTTTCGAAAGCTCCCACGGTTCTCTGTGGCTCGCTGGAAAACCCTTTCCCGTGAAGAAGGCGCTGCAGCCACTTCCGGTTCCAGGGCGCTGTCTCGGGCGTCCGGGAGGCTGGGCGTCCCCAGGGCAGCGCTCCCTCTGCGCCTGCACCCCTCCCTAAGCCACGGGGAGTGCTGCAGCCGGTGCCAGGAACAGGACTTCCCCACAGAGTCACTTCTCTCGCCACGTCCAACAGCCCTCTCCTTAAACGAGCATTTCAGGTGAAAGTGTGATGACCACTTCCAGGGCTCTACGTGGACACTAATGTATTTAGGGCCATTTCGGCTCCCACGTCCTGGGAATCCTCCGACAGCAAATGAGTCAACACAGGGGAGCCTTCACTATTGGCTCTGAGTGGAAACGCATCACGTGGACGGATCACGGTCGGACTGAAACCGAAGCCACAGGGAGGGACACGCACGGCGCCCCCAGCACCCCCAGCTCAGGCACACAGGTGCGCACAGGAAGGAAAACAAAGGTCATGTTTCTAAAGCAGGTAAGTCCATCCTACCCCAGCTGCAAAGCCAAATTTAGGGAAAATTTCAAAAATGACCCACCGAAAGCTAACCGTGCTCGCTTGCCCACTCTCCTTCCGGCCTCTTGCCCGACCGCCGTCACACCTCCCGGACCGACCACGGCTTTCAGAGACCTGCCAGCACCCCGTGCACGGTGACGGCGTCGCACCAGGCTCTCGGACCTGGCCGGCCAGAGTGTGCAGGTGCTGACCCGTACCCTGCCGCACAAAAACCACCTTCTGGCACGGGCGCCACAGGCGTGCGAGCAGCCGCACACCCGGCGGTGCACAGTCACAGGGCCGGCTGGCCCCCTGGGGCTTGAGCTCCATGCGTGGCCAGCGGAGGCGACACGGACCGCGCCGGCTGGGCGTCAGGCGGGGGCCCCCGGGGCCGGCAGTGCCTCTGGAGTGCACACGGCTGCCAACAGTGCTTCTGGCGAAGACCCAGCCCGCGGTTAAGCTGCACTTCAGGGAAAACCAACTTGAAAAACAATTTCTCGGGAGCCACAGTTGAATTAGGCCCGGAATTTGAAAAGCAAACAAACAAAATAACAGCTGCTGGTCTCCGAGGAGGAAGAGTACGAGAGTCGCTGGGAAAACGGGGAAAGGCTGGAGACGACCCACTGGGTCGTAAAAGACGCGTCGGCTCCGGGGACCTGCACGTGTGACGCGGGCGCGCACACCCGGAGCTGCATCCGACTGGGGAGAGCTCCGGGACTCAGGAGAGATGCCACCGGGCAGAGGGGCGACACTCAACAGCTGGAAGAACGAACCTCAGGCTGCCTTCACTCCTGGCGCAGCCCCCACGGGGGAGGAGTTTCCACACCTGACATGTAAGATGCCCATACCAACGGCAGCCCGAACTGCCTGTGCTTGCCACGCGCCACCTGTTAAACCTCTCTAGTTCCGGAGGCCTCACGTAAACCTCGGAGCCAAACACCGGCTCGGCAAAGCGGATGGACTCTAATGCAGACCCCTGGGCTCTCCGGGCCTGGAAGGGGCACCGCGAGGAGCAGGTGCCCAGTGAGGACAGGGGCCCCACCCAAGAAGCCTCACTGGGCGCGAGGGCAGGCCAGGCCAGGCCGGAGTACCCACCGTGCCGGCCCCGGCACAGCGCCGAGCTGGGCGCGAGCAGCGGGCTCTCGGGGCCCCACGTGCACGGCCACCTGGGAGCCGCCCGCTGGTCCACCTGAGCGAGTTACGGAGCGGAAGCGGACATCTGTCAGGAAAGCGGTTTCTCACCCCTGGCCAGCGCCTGGCCTCGGGACGGAAACCCGCCCTGAGGAACCGGCCCGGAGCCGGAGCGCGTAAGGGGCCCCCTTCGCGCCTCAGACTCGGTGACGGAGACGGCCAGGAATGCTTTAGGTGATTGTGATGCCTTAAAATCTGTATATGAAACCTGGCTGCGTGCAGAACACTCTCAGCATGACTTAAAGAGCACACTCAACTATTACAGCGCTCGTAAAATCAAGGGGGAAATAGTGATTTTTATTTTCTTGTATTTTGCAGTACTGGGAATAAGCAGGAATATGCATGCATTGTTTATGTATCAAAAAACCTGTTTCTCCTTTTGAAGGTCATTTTATAAAATGCAGAACGTGACACAGAAAGGAAGGTAACTTGTGCCGCTCCCCTTCCTCCTCCTGGACTCAGGGCACGTCCTCCTCGTCCCCACCGTGCCCCAAGCAGGACCTGGGCTGTCGCCTCTGGGTCCTTCCTCCTCCTCCCTCCCCACACCCACCGGGTTACCAGGCCTCTTGCAGCCTCAACGACCCTCCTGTCCTGTCCCCATGGCTGCCGTCCCAGCACAGGCCGGGGAGATGGCCGCACGGCAGAAGCATGCGGGACTGCTCCCCACACACATACCCGGTGCACCCTCGCCCAACATGCCGACGCGGACCTCCCGTGCTCCCCACACTCTGTCTGCGGGGCTGCCCCCTCCCGCTGGCTGACGCGCCCGAGTTCTGACGCGGGGAGAGGCCCCACACCGAGGACGCTGGCTCACGGGCAGCCGCCGAAGACCAAGGCGCAGCACGCACTCCTGGGAGGGAGGTGCAGAGCCCTCTCGCAGGACGAGAAGTGAGGGTCGGGGGCAAGCTGCCGCTTTCTGCCTCTCGTGGCAACGTCCCCAGAGGGGGCTGGCCTGGGGGACGAGCCCGCCACGCCGGAGGACGGAAGGCACGTCTTGTGGTTTACTCGAGTGCCCGTCGAGGACTTGACACGCACCGTCTGGCAATTCCAGGGTTACGAACCTCCGAGATTACTGCCCGCCAGTCGGACTTCGCTCGGACCACCCCAGAACCCCCGAGTTCCACCCGCTAAAACGGGAGGCCCGGCCCGGCCCGGGGCACACGCGAACCGTCATCTCCCCAAAGGACTGCTCCAGCCTGTCCTCGTGGCTTCCCGAGGAGATGCCGTCTAATCCACCCTCCCTGAGACACAGCCAAACAGTCCTTCCAGAACGACCCCTGACCCCACCACTGCCCACTCACACCTTCCCCGGACCACCTGCCCTGCGCCGCCACACCTGGCTTCCCGGGGCTCCGTGGGGGGGGCTGCCGGCCTCTGTAGCCTCGGCCTCGCCCCCACCCCTCCGCGCAGCCATGTGGACGGCGTCCCCTCTGGTCTCCGCACACGCCGCTCCCTCCGCTCCCAAGGTCCTTCTCCCACTCCGCACCCACCCCTCCCCCCAGCACACGCCACCGCCCGCAGGTCTCTCCACGGCGGTCGATCCCCCTGGGAGGTTGCTCTGAGCACCCCCCGACTGCCCACCGGGCCCCAGGCCCAGGCCCACCCCCTCCGTGCGCTGGTCCAGCGCTCATCACGCGGGGCTGGAACCGAGGAAAGGACTGTGTTCCGCGCGAGTCCCGGTGCCAGCAAACAGCACCGTGCTGGACAGGCAGCGGCCGCCACCCACGAACACTGAACAGACGAAGACAAGGGAAGATGGACAAACTGACGGGAACATGAAAGACCGCGAGAGTCCGGGGAAAGGAACAAGTAACTCAGGAGAACAGAAAAGCTGCTGTCTGAACGGCTTTCACTCTACTAGCAGCCGAGAGAAACACCTCAAAGCGCCTCCAGCGACCAACGGGGTCCCTGGAAGCACAGCAAGTCGCCGCCGGCAGACAGCGCTGCTCTGGGAAGGCGCCCGCGGCCGAGCCGGCGGGAAAAGCCCGCCCCGCACGCGGAGCATCTTCCCAGCTGGAGGCCGACAGCCGTCTGGGGGGCTCCCCTCGCCCCCTCCCCCCGTCTCCCCCGATCTCAGGGAGGGAGAGGCCTGCCACCAGGGCCTGAAGCCGCGTCTGTGCTCTGCGCGTCCCGTGCAGGAGGGCGCACTCCCCTGGCTCTCTTCCCTGCTCCGAGCTGGAAGCGAAGGAGCGGAGGCTTCCCGCACGGCACGAGAAACATTCTTTAAAAACCAAAGCTCAAAAAGGACAGGACTGCGCACCGCGTCACGCACACAGCAACGCACGTCCTCGCTGCTCACGCCGATCTAAGAGTCCCTTTCACACGTGACTCCCTCTGAGAAGACACAGGTGACAGCAGGAGGACTGCACAAGCCCAGGCTTTTATTTCAGGACGCGGCCTCTTGATCACCAGTAGCCGGGAGTGTAAGGCTACGACACGCCCCGACACAAAGACAGATGCAGCCGGGAGAGCACAGACCAACTTCTGGCGTCCGTGTCGACCTGACACCGGCTCGTCGCCCGCGAAGAACAGCCAGACACCGTGTTGCTGGCTCCAGGGCCCGAGGTGGGCCTGCAAGTGCACCCGCTGCGTGTGGCTCAAACGGCCGCACACGCAGTCCCTCCGTACGCCCCGTTTAAAACGAGAGCATCTGTGCTTGCCCTGTCCTTAGGTTCCCGCGGATCTGCGCCACTCACCGGAATGTAATAGATGCCCATCTTGGGGGTTTCGTTGGCGGTGAGAAGCATCCCTGAAAACAAGCACAACGAGAAGGTCAACACGTGGGGACGAGCACCCGCACCTACTTGTTTCACGCTGCGGACCGTCCGAGGTGCTCGGAACACAGAGTGCACAGGGCTCCGGCTGCGGGCCACGGCCCGGGCCTCCTGGGCGGCTCCCCGAGCCTCAGAGAGGGCCCCTCCCAGCACCAAGGGCTCAGGCCTGCAGACGTCAGCCACTGCGTGTCACGGGGACAGTGCTGAGCTTCAGACATGACACACAGAGAAAATGGAATTTCAATGCACTATCTAACACAAACGAAAATCAGAAAGTTAAGAAGAACGGCTCCTTCCTGTCAATCGGGAATCAAAAAACCGAGGCGAAGTATTTCCCACGAAACGTCACAGCAAAGCAGCCCCTCACACCTGACTGCAAGGTCACACCAAGGTCACGCCTGATGAAAACAACACACCGTGCCCTGACTGCCCCGTGCAGCCGCCCCTGCGGAGCCCGGCCCGGCCACCCCGAGACAGGGAGCTCTGCAGGGACCGGAACAGCAGAGCCCACAGGCCGCTGATAATTCGGTCTTCTCAGGCCAGCCAGTCAGAAGGCAGAGGAGGAGTCGGGGCCAGCGTCCCGGCCCGCAGCAGATGTCTCCCTGGCACCCCAGAAGCGGCGGCGACCTCCGAGTGCTCCCTCTCCGGCACGGAGCCACGGCGCTGGGGTTCCGGTCTGGGTTTGGCGCTGCGTCTGCACGGGCTTGTCCCCCCAGGTCTCCCGAAACAGCCCCTGTCCGTCAGTGACACTGCGGTGGGCCACCACGGACAGGGTCCTGTGTGATTACCACGTGCTTTCACACGCAGGGCCCGGCACAGATGAGGCCCCTCTTTATCACATGAAAATCTCTCATAGCACGTAATTCTGTAACACAACGATGTCACACTCAAGCACACCCTATGACATTTTAGGTGACGTGTTCAAATAGCGGTCCACCTCGTGCGAGACATTCACGCACCCTGCCAGCTGCACCCAACGGCATTCCAACTCTGCCGGCCCCGACTATCTCAGGGAGACCCGCCAGCACCCGCTCCTACAGGTCAAGACGCAGAGCTCACACTGACGTCTTGTCTCAAGGCAGGGAAGTTTGGGGCCGAGAAGCAGACTCAGGGCTCCGGTTGCTACACACTCAGACAAATCAGCCAGATTACACTCACTCGGAAGATCTGTCTGTAACACACGGTGGAGGAGCCACAGCGAGAAGATGTTCAGATTGTCAGACCACACACGCACAGATACACCAAATGTAAGGACAACAATTTGAGTCGATGTCTGAAAAGTATTTTTTTCTGCTCTTTGTTAACACAAAGCTTGTGCCCTGGCCGGTGTGGCTCAGTGGACTGAGTGCCGGCCTGCGAACTGAAAGGTCACTGTTTTGATTTCCTGTCAGGGCACAGGCCTGGGTTGCAGGCTGGGTCCCCAGTGGGGGATGAGAGAGAGGCAACCGATCCATGTATCTCCTGCACATCGGTATTTCTCTCCCTCTCTTCCCCTCTACCTAAAACTAAATAAATAAAATCTTTAAAAGGAAAGCTTGTAGTAGTCTCGCTTCCGTCACTTTGCCTGAGCCGTGCATCCTCTGGGGACCCTGAGACCCTGCCGAGGCTGGACACTGGCAGGTTTCAACTAAAAAAACCAGTTTCCACCATCAACCGCCATCTGCCTCCACATTCCGTTCCTCCTGGGGCCGCCGCACCCCAGAACGAGGCACCTCCCCTTCCCCAAACAAGCCCCGTGCATCGTGCCACATTGTATGGTATCACACACAGCCCAGCCTAGCCTACCCTGGCCCGTGCTGCTGCACCCTGCCCTCCCCTGCCCTCGCCTCCCCGACCACTGCCCACCCAGCCCCAGCTTGGCCCGGCCTGGCCTGCCTCCCGCTCTAGCCCCGCGCTGCCCTTACACTGGTCCCTCACAGGGATCGCCCTGTCCCAGACTCCACCCACAAACTGCACTCACCAGTGCACATGCAACACCAACAGAGATCGCTGCAGCCTCTCCCGCTGCTCCGGCCGGAGCCGCTCCCCAACAGGCTGTCAGAGCGCCTTCTGAACACGCCACAGAGCTCCTCCCGCTCTGCCTGCACCCGCTCCCCAGTGACCCGAGCGTGCCTGCCCTCTCGGTGCAGCATGCCTGCGAGTGGGAACTGTTCTCGTGTCCTCACCCCCACCCCCGTTCTTCTCAGACGTGCCCGTAGGGATTGTTAGATCCTGCCCCGTCCTCGTATCTGCCCTGCACACCCCTGGCCCCACGGCCCCGGGGCCCTCTCCCGCCCCCGACTGGATTCCCGCTCACGGCTGCTCATCGCGCGGGGGGCGGAAGAGCTCGCTGAAACCGCACCGCGCCTGCCGCCGCCTCCACCTGTTACCCCTTCCCACTGGCAGGGGCTGGCTGCGCCCCGGGTCACGGAGAGGCCACTGTCTGGACCAGCCACAGCACCTCCTGCTCTCGACTGTTCAAGCAAGCGCAACGTCTAAGACCTGTCCCGACGGAGCCAAGTCCTGTCTTAAGAAACACGGCGAGTTTAAAACCCAACAAAGCACAGCTCAGATGGGTCTTGCCGCGTGACCCGTGGCTCCATACTGCGTACCTGAGTCGGGGTAGAGGCAGACGTCATTGATGTCGTGTTCTGGCTCCAAGGAAGTAAATACTTTCCCCTGAAAGAGTAACCAAACAGCAGTCATCAAACCTCAGAGACACACTTCGGCAGCCCCGCGTGAAGAAACGCACCGAGGCCGAGCTCAAACTCCTACTGGGATGTGAAGAGATGAAACCAGCCCCCTGGAATCACAGAGCTTAAGTTTTCAACAGTATCTCAGAGAGTTCATCGGATCAATTTACCAAACGCTCTTCATTCTAGGGACGAAGAAGCCGAGGCCCCTGGGGGAGAGGCGACTTATCCGAGAAAGTGAACCAACGGTTTTAAAGGTGATGTCTCTACAACAGGGGAGGGTGACGCTTAAAATAAAGTCGTGCATCAACTCAACAGATCCTCACACTCGGGAAACCACTCCCCGGTTGAACCCGGCACCCAGGGAAAGCGACGGCCGGCGCGGCGGGATGGGGACACGGTGGCCATCCCCGCGCCGCGGGCTCCGGGGGCCGAGCGAGATGACGAACGTGGGATGCCTCCCGCACTGAAATCCGGTCCGCGCACAGGGCGACGGCTGTTTGACAGTGAAGCCCAAGGCATTTCTTTAAGTGTGTGTGTGTGGGGGGGGACGTGCTCTTTTGAAAAGAGTTACAGGGGGAGGGTAAGACAGGAAGAGACAGCAGGTGAGATGGGAACAGGAAAAGGTGAGGAGAAGGACACGCAAGGAAAGCCAGTCAAGCAAAACCGAGGGAGTGGGTGTCGTCCACAGGGCGCACTTAGTCATGAGCAACAACAACGCCAAAACAAAACTCATCGTAGCAACTGCGGCGCGGGGACTTCAAGGGCCAGCCGGAGGAGCCTCCCGCGGCCAGGGGGAGGCTCAAGTCTGTGCCCAGTGGGAAACGGCAGCCCAGTTCTCATTGGAGACATTGCAATTCACACAGCTACCTCCCTGTTCTTCTCAATTCCCACGGAAACAAGAAGGAAAAAAGGAAGGAGAAAAAGAGAACTGTAACAGCGTGGAACAAAATAGCAAAAAACTCCACACTCGGGAAAACCACGCCCCAGTTAAAGGGTCTGGGAGCACACGTCCAAACTGACAACACTCATTGCCTTGAACCAGCATGAAAGCCAGATCAAGGGCACCTTCTAACTTGCCCAGCAGCCTATGAATTTTACAAAATACAATGTCAGCGTTTCCAGTATTAAACATACATACTGTTCTAAGTATATCAATTTGGATTACCAGAAAAAGCAGAGAAAATTCCAGGCCATGACACCAGGAAACTTCCTAAGAAAGCCCTCACACCCCCCAAACTCGAAGCCAACAAAGGTGAGTGGCAGTCGGTTCCCGGGGAGATCGGGGTGACCCTCCCCAGAACTCAGACCAGCTGGAGCCTTCTCCTCCTCCCTGCCGTGGCCGGAGCCGCAGACACCAGGCCCTGAGAAGCAGGGCACGCCCCGGGGACAACCCAGAATCTCCCCCACGTGTCCAGAGGGGAAAAGGGCGTCCGCTCGGTCAGGTCCCCGCTCTGGGAACCAACCACACGGAAGGGAAAAGCCAAAGCGCTGGCTGGAGCAGCCGCGGACTCGGACAAGCAGTGGAGCGGTGCGGGGCTGCGGGCAGCGCCTCTGTCCTGGGCACGGGCAGCCCCACCGCGGAGACCGGCACTCGCCCTCCGGCACTCGCCCTCCGGAAGCTGAGGTCGAGGCTGCTAGACTTCCACCCACCGCACCTCAAAACTGAATTAAAAGAAAAATAAAAGAGCCCTGACTGGCGTGGCTCAGTGTCTGAGTGCCAGCCTGAAAACCAAAGGGTTGCTGGTTCGATTCCCAGTCAGGGCACATGCCTGGGTTGCGGGCCAGGTCCCCAGTAGGGGGCGTGTGAGAGGCAACCACACACTGATGTTTCTCTCCCTCCCTTCCCCCTCTCTAAAAATACATAAATAAAATCTTAAAAGAAAAAAAGGAGTGACATTTTTTGACAAAAGGTGCTAAGCTTGTAATTAATTAAATGCAAAGAGCTCTTAAAAGCTGTACTGAATGAATGTTTTCCCAGTTAGTTGATGAACTAACCTTTTACTTTTCTGAAAATACTTGGGTTTTAAAATGAAAAGCAGAAGACGGATTAAACCAACAACGTAAGATTCTGTCACTTTTAATGCAATACTTGCAACTGAGGGGAGAGAACATCAGATGTTCTCAAGAAAATACTGGTTTTAATAGAAATTTCAACAGAAAGATACGTACCGAGTTCTTATTCCACATCTTGATAATCCGCGAGTCTGCAGACAAGATCAAGTCTAAGGAGTCCTGGAAATGAAGCGACTTAATGGGCAGCCCGTACTGGTGGTCCTTAACTAGCAGCGGCTTGTCCGACCGCAGGTCGTAGAGTAAGATCTACAAGGGAAGAAGCAAGTTACTTCTGTGCAAACAAACTGAACATTTTATCCTAAAAAACAACTGTAAAAACTGACAATAGTGGCCACCGTCTGCCTCCCTGGACCTTCACGAGCACAATGATCACCGCCCCCGAGGGTGCACAGGTCCCCAAGTCAGAGCCAGCAGAACGCTCCAGAAACATCTCTCAAATTACCCTTAGAGAACGTGGTTCTATGCATTCAACCCCGAGAGCAACTTCCAGGCGCACCGGGACCGAGAACTCCCAAGCTGCTACGCCAAGGAAGGAGCAGAAAGGAAGGCTGAGAGGGTTTCTGTGATCTGGGAATTCGACAAAGGTGTGGACTGCGGCCTGCTGAGGACTAGGTGCAGTCGCAGCGAGTGACAGGCACCAGACAGACAGGGGTACAGGACACGGTCCTGGGAGGCCAAGACAGACGGTGGTGGCCAGGCTACGGCTGGGGGCGGGTGGGGCGGGGTGGGGGCGGGGGCTGGGGGAGGGAGAGCCCTGACATCAGACGCAAGGAGCCCAGGGAAACTCAGCCTCCCGCCCAGGCGACAGGCCCTCCTTCGACCAACCATGGCGGCGGAGGCAGTGCCTGCCCCGGGGGCAGGCTGTCAGGCCTGGTCTGGGAGGGCAGCACACTCACAGGGGTGGGGGCTCTGCCTTGAAGGGAAGGAGCGGCAGACGGGACGCAGCCCGCAGGCGTCTCATCCGCGCTCCCAGACCTGCACCCCCGCCACAGGGGGGTGGGCTCACGTGCTGAAGGAAAACCAGACACCTGGGACAGATACGTTTTGGAAACACTCACTAAACACATCTCTCGTCTACAGGAACTCCCAGGGCCTTCAGTGTAACTTCACACGCACTATGAATCCCCGAGAGTGGAATCTGCCCGAGGTCCAAACTCCTGGACCGCAGCCCTCTGTCCACGGACCCCACCGCAGCCCCAGCTCGAGCGCCTCCCAGACCAACCACCGAGGTCAGAACCACCGTTCTCGGGGTGCTGAGAGGAGTGTTCTGGAGCGTTCTCTCCACTCCAGCCCAGACACACAGGGCGGAGCGAAAGGAGGCTCACAGCTGTCGTATGGAAAATAACACGGTCACTAATAAAGACCACTACAAGAATAAGTCCCGTGCTTCAAGCACTCACAACAGTAAACCTCCTCTTGCCCCACCCTGTACAGTGCCTCACTCCCCGTCCCCACAGTGAAGACCTGAGGATGTTGCCCAGGACACATGCACGAAGCTGAAGTGCTAACTCATGCGGGACATGTCCAGCTTACACACACTCACCTGCCCTGTGGATGTCCCGACTGCCATGGTCAAGGCGCCATGGAACTTCAAGGCAGAGATGGTTGGTAAACTGTTTATCCTGAAAGGCAAAGCATTCGTGTTCCTTGTGCACATGGCCAAGCCTTCTTCCAAGTAACCGATTCATTATTAATCTTCACTTCAGCCCTGGCTGGTGTGGTTCAGTGGACTGAGTGCCAGCCTGCAAACCAAAGGGTCACTGGTTCGACTCCCAGTCAGGGCACATGCCTGGGTTGCAGGCCAGGTCCCCAGCAGGGGGGCGCATGAGAGGCAACCACACATTGACATTTCTCTCTCTTTCTCCTTCCCTTCCCCCTTCTCTAAAAATCAATAAATAAAATCATTAAAATAAACCCTTCAATTCTGATGGGGAAAGTCATATGTCTAGCCAGCTTTTGAAAAATGTAATTGTATCCAAACTTTCTTAGTCAAAGTAAAAACTAAGCTCTACGTATAAAAGTAAAAAATCTGTAGATTACCTTCAAAAACTGTAATACCTATTCTCAAAGCAGCTGCAAACAAACAAACTTCTGAAAACATAAAACCAGCTGAAAGCCCCAGTGTGACAGTACCTCCCACGTTCAGTCAGGGTACGGTATTTACAGAACACCCCCTTCCCAGCTGCAGAGGAAACCACGTTATACCCAGGCGGGGGATGCCCGTTTCCCCCTTTAAAGCTGGCCGTGTCCAAGCTGAAATAAAGACTGGGGTGCAAATGGGGCCCCTGGAATCTCTCAAAGTAACGAGAATGATGAACGGTTACGGTCACGGACCCGGCCTCTCACGCGGCAGCCACCAGCAGTGGCGCCGAGAGCAGAGACCTGGGTGGAGGCGGCGCCGGAGGACCAGTCAGGAGCGAACGCCAGTCCTCACTTCACTGCTCTCTCCGTCTAGGGGTCCTTGGCCCAGGACCTGCACACCGTCCAGGCTACCAACGATGGCCAGCATCCCCCGTGTCACTTGCGCCCCCTAGAGCCTCGGCCCAGAACTGCAGCGGGCGTCAGGGTGAAACCTCCAGGCCGCTCGCCCGCCGTATTCGCAGCCGTTGACTCTTCGAAATGAACTCTTGACCAATACTCACGCAGCAGTATGTTATTTTTTTTACCTACTCAAACTTTCTGTTTCCTCATAAACTGTCATTTTTTTTTTTTTCAGATAACTCGACCTCTCCGTGTTTTACAATTTCTGTTGTTACAAACGTAAACTGTCTCCCTCGTATCCTCCTAACTGGACACTGCTGGTAAACATCAAAGCCACACATTTTGTGCGTTTGTCCTGTAACCGATTTACTTAAGTCTCCTAACAGTTCCCACATTCCTCCCACGGATTCTGCCGGGGTTCTCAGGCAGGCACGTGACGTGCCACCTGCCGTCCCCACCCCGCAGCCGCACGGACCCCCCTCCCAGCAGGGGGAGCTGCTGGCCTCCCGGCTGGCCCACCCAGTGGGCTCGCACACACGCCCGGGTTTTTACAGAAGATGGTCGCAGGGACCACCACCGCAGCCCTCCGTGTGAACGAGCCCGCCCTCCGGTCACGGACTTGAACTCAGGGCCGACACACCCGCAAACGGCCGCGGACGCGTGTCGAAGCTGCACGCCGGCTCCCACTCACTCCGAGTCTGCGGTGACGCTGCTGAGCGCGCAGTCCAGCAGGCCGACTCGGCCGCGCGTCCTGGGGTCCCAGCACTCCACGCGGCCCTGCGCAGACAGACAGACAGACAGACAGACGACAGTGTCAGGCACGAGCTGCTCCTCGGAAACTGGCAGGCGAACGCCAAAAAGGCGTTAACGATCAAACACAGATATGCATAAAGATGAAAAATTGTTCACACTATTAACCATCTTAAAAGCAAGACCTCAAATGTACGTGGAAGGTGTGATCTCATTCATCGGTTATTATTATTATTATTATTGCAAACGTGGCTGTCACAGAGATTTAAATAAAATCTCATAAATCACGCAGCAGGTAACTCCAGATGGTCTAGGCTTCTGCTGCATCTCCTCCAAACGAGTTGAGAGACTTCACAGACATAAAGAAGAAAAGTCTACCCTTCAGAAATAAAAGGTGGGTACGCAGCTTAATTGCAGAGTAAATACAAAGTGGTTTTTTTAACCACAGTGATTTTGTGACCAAGCGTGACTGCCTCTGCGGCTGAAGCCTGCAACCTAATGCGCTTCAAAAAGCACAAATGCAAACCCTTACTGTCTGATTTTGATAATAACAAGTAATAAATGTTACAGCAACTGAAACAGAAGAAACCAAAATCCAACATATCGCCCTGGCTGGTGTGCCTCAGTGGCCCACCTAATCCTAATCTCCTAACGTAAAAATAATTTGAGTAAAGAGACCTAAATTTCATCCATGTGGGATTGGTTTCACGAACTACTCAAACTATTCAAACAGTGCAATCCTGTCCATCTGCTGACACAAATTCGTTTTGTGTTGTAACTAACTGTGAGCACCGCTGTATGAACACGTGTGTTTTTATGTCGTCGCATGCAGTGCAGGCCGTGAGAAACCTCACTCGAGAGGATACTGAGAAGGCTCAGCGTCAGCGCACACCTGCACACGCACACCCGCACACGCACACCCGCACACGGAACCCGAAAGGTAACACTGCAAACCGTTAAAGAGGTGCCTCTGGGCGGTGCGATCCGGGGACTGAAAGGCACAGAGGACACTTTTTAAATGATATCTTTCCGACATACTTGCTTTTTCAAAAAAAAAAAAAAAAAACCTACTGTGAGTATTTAACATTACTGTACTTAAAAACGTAAATCTGGAAAAACCTTGTCCAGCGTGAAGGACACTGAACCGGAGCTACTGTGGTCTAAAGGGAAGTGCTGTGCCGGGCCCTGGCTGAGGGCTCGGCGGGGTACAGTGTTGCCCCCCGCCCCCACAGGCCCAGGTTGCGGGTCCGACCTCTAGTCGGGGCACACACGAGAACCAACCGACGAATGCGTGGAACGGAGTGATGCTTCTCTCCCGCTCCCGCCCTTCCTCTTTTCTCTAAAACCAATACATGAAAAATGTTAAGCCCCGCCCCAAAGAAAAGATGAACAAAAGGGAAGCACTATGTATTTACTGGATGCTACTGCACAGGGCGTGCAAGAGACGGCCCCATCTGCCTTTACAGGCGAGAACGTTTTCATGTCGGCTGGTCCACGAGTCTCACCAGCACCTTTCTAAAGTCGGCACGGGAAGGGTTATTAGCTCCGTTTCACCGGGGAGGAGACGGCCTCAGGGAAGGCAGCTCACAGCCATCAAACTAACAAGCAGCAGAGAGCTGGGCCCCGTGACAGGGGGCCTCCTGTTAAGAACAAGAACGGCCGTCACGCTGCTCCCCGGAAGCTGGGACCCAGCAGTGACCTCCTGTCCAGCGCCGGGAGATCAGGGTCAGAGCCCACCATGCCTGCCGCAAGACTGGACAGTCCGCAGCAACCCCCGCGACCTCCTAGACAGAGCCCATCCCCGGCTGGTCGCCTGGCTAGCACGCCGCTCTCAGGAACCAGCAGCTCTGCCTTTCAATGACATTTTGTTCATCATCAAAAGAAAAACAAGTATCTTTTGAAAATCACGCAAGACGCGCTCACCTCTACCGTTCCCGTGGCAAACAAGCCGTGCGCTGAGTTGATGTCGCAAACGTTGTTCTCCCTGCAACGAGAGCCAGAGGGAGGAGCACGTGAGCCTCCGCTTCACGGGCAGGGACACCAGCGGGCTTGCTCGGCGAACAGCCAGCCCGTGGGGACGGGAGACATGCAGACCCTCCCGGTCACCTGCTCGTGAGAACGCCCGGGCATGAGAGGGCTGAGTCGGGCACACAGGAACAAGGTGTCTGACTCCCAGGGCAGGAGACAGGGAAGAACCTCCTTGGACACATGGTCATGACAGTGAGGGTTCATCTCCTTTCTCAATACATTTTCTCCCCAGGCACACAGAACACAGCTGGAGCCGGGCCGAGCCGGAGCCGTGACCAGTTTCAGCTGCGTAGGCTGCTCTGAGTCCTGTCTGCTTTGTCTGAAGAGTGGATACCTCATCCCCCTCACCTGGTTGCTCTGAGGACTAAATGGGAAAACTACAAAATGTTCAGTACAGCGTCCAGAGTGTACAAGACACACAATAATAATGGCTGTTATGCCCTGGCTGGTATAGCTCAGTCGGTTGGAACATTGCCCTGTAAACCAAAAGGTCGCAGGTTCAATTCCCATTCAGGGCACATGGCTGGGCTGCAGGTTCAGTCCCCTGGCCGGGGTGTGTACGAGACAACCGATCGATGTCTCTCTATCATATTGATGTTTCTCTCACTCCCCCGCCCCCGTCTCTCTAAAATCAATACGCATGTCCTTGGGTGAGGGTAAAGAATAATAATGGCTGTTATTATAAATAGATAATTGTGTGAAGAAAAGGTAAATTTTATTATTCAACAATGCACTATCATTTTTTTAAAGTAAATAGGAGGATTTCAAGTCAACCTGAAAAGAAATACTGAGAATTCACCTGATTGTTATCAGTGAATGTTCTCCCAACCTTTAAAAACCCTTTCAAAGCAACAAGGGAAATCCTGCCAGCTCTTTATACACACAGATGAGAAGTAGTCCAGCTTCCACCCTCCCCAGCTGTGTGCCCTGGACAAGCTCCTTACCCCCTGGGCCTCCGCTCCCACCACACAAATGCAGTCAAGTCCAAACTGAGTTAACACGCATGAAGCACTGAGCAGTGCCCGGCACAGGGGCCCTCCCACTATTGTTGCCACCACTGCTCCACACTGCCACTGTGACAGCTGCATTCCCAAAGGGCGTCTGTCTCTTTAGATAAAGCGAGAGTGTGGGCAATACCGTATGGTAAAATGAAAGGGAAAAAAGCCTTAAAGTTCTGCTAGCAAAAACATAAAAGTTTTTAAAATAGTACCAAGTAAATTCAAAATTTCTCCACGAGAACAAAACCAAACCATGAATGAAAATTTAAAGACTATGAAAAATAATAAACTGAACTTTTCAGTGAATTTTGAAATTTTCAAGCACATTTTTTAAAAATTAAAAATTTTAAGAAATCATTAGGTCCTTCAGTAAATTTCTGGTTTAAGTAAGAAAACTTAATGGGACTCCTTTTTAATTGGGTGGCCCGGCACCACTGAGCCGCAGCACACGTTGCTGGGTGACACCCTGAGCGTCTGGCTCCACCTCCTGGCCAAAACAAGCACAGCAGCATTCTCAAAACAAGGTACTCACGCGGCATCCGTCTGCAGAGGATTCAGGTACCGTCCTTGTTCTAGGTTTAATCTATAAACTTCAGAGCTGCAAAGTAATACAAAAGGTTAAAAATGTGGTAACTTTAAAGGTAAGCTACGATAAACTTTTCTTCAAATAAATATAATCTTTAAAAATACAGACAAGGGTGGGCAAAGCAGGCTTACAGTTGTCCGTATGGAGAATAACACAGTAACAAATAACACAAAAACAACTGCTCTGTATGCCTGCGACTGTGGGCCTGCTTGTGCCCGCCCTTGGGTGTGTGTCTCTCACTCATACACCATCGCCCCCTTTCGTGAAACACGAAAGTGTACTCTCAACCTACACACAATCGCCTATTTGTGAGACGGCTCCTGTGCAGAAGTGACTCACACCACCCCCGTGCCCGGGAAATAGCACGAAGTCACAAGGAGACTATCATTTATGAGGACCGCGGAGAATAAAAACCCAAAATGTACGCACACGTGCACGCATGAAAAGACTAGAAGGAACCACAAGAAAAGACTAATAAGGGCTCCCCCTGGACAACGTAATTGTGATTTTTTTAATACTTTTTAATATTTTCCAATATTCGCTAATAGATGTGTTATTTTTATACAATCATAAAGAAGGCCACATTTAAGGATAGAAAACTTTTAAAGTGGCGCTAAGAAACTTGCCTCACCGCTAACACGACCCCACCAGGTCGCCCGTCTCCCCCTAGGTCCAGAGCACCGCGCTAGAAAGAGCCAAAGAGAGAGTTTCTAAGACATCCCTTCGCTGTGGAACTCCGCCCTGAGAGCAACCGCAAGGCAGGGACCGTGGCTTGTCCTCCTCCCCACGCCCCTCCTCAACTCCTCCTCAAAGTCAGGAACAGCAAGTTGTGTCTCCCGGTCTGGGAAGTGCAGGGGAGGCGAAAGCCAAGGGCGCCGGACCCGATACCTTGCGCCGACGAAGTACAAGTCGCAGGACGGGTAATGGTACGAGAAGTCCCTCCCAAACTTGGGGATTCTGGTTTTGTAGTAAAAACCTGACTGGGAATGGAACTCAATGTATCGATCGTTATGCAAGAAGACGATCTGAAAGTGAGACGGGAAAATTAGTCTGCTTGGGTGTCATCATCGCCACAACGAACAAAGCTCGAAAGCCCCTGATCTCTCTCCCCGGCTTCCTTCCCTCTACACACACGTGTCTACGTGTGCACGCGCGCACACACACACACACACACACACACACGCACACACACGTCTCCACCACGACAAGTTCCGCGGGCACTCGATGGCCCCCTGCATCCTCGAGAGCTTCTCCGCAAACCGCGCCTCTGGCCGAAAGGCTGAGCACAGGTGCCCCTGGCTCCTCCGACACCAGCGCCTCCCAGCGCAGCTCTGCGCGGCGCCCTGGACGCGTGAGTCCCGCTCAACGCGTGTTAACAATCTCGTGATCATCAGACACGGTTTGACAAACTTGTACAGACTTAACTTTAGTGAATTACACAGGTATCTTTAAAATCTGCGGGTGGTATGTAAAAGCAAATTTACCAATATCTAGGTCAAACAGATTATAAAATCACACGTCCCCAAACACAGGACGAAAGGCTGCCGTAAGCGAAAGGATAAACCAGACTCCGCAGTTTCCAGACCTGAAGACAGCACAGGAAGTCTGTCAGCTAAGGAAATGCAATTTTCCTCCAAGATGACATCGGACATTATTAAGTTTTTCACTGAAATTGAACATGGCAAAGAAAAAATATACATAGTTGGCTGTGTTTTGAATTGTTTTGGAATGTGCCATGACCACCGATTTGCAGAATTAATAGAATTGAACACACAACACTGCTATTTTACCTCTCACATGTGAACGTGAAAGCAACCTGGCAAATGACACCGGCTCCAGTGCGGTAACGAAAAACCACACGTCGGGACCTAAAACCCGACTGCTGCTGCCCATTCTTAAAAATGCAGTCAAGGTCTCATGTGCGGCACGGAAAGTTTACTTTAACATTGGACTGGACAAACGCCCTCTCGGTCACTGCTGTTTGAAAAGATGCTACACATCATACATGCGACAGACTAAAAATGTATTAACAGAAAGTGACAGGTTTTACCACACAACCATTTCAAATTTCACAACGGGAACACCACAGAGACACATCGTAAAAATAAATTCCACTCATTCGTGTCTGGAGGACACAAACCGATCAAGCGTACCTTTGAATAGTCGTCAGACAACGTTTCAAAGGTGACCACTGAAAAACAAGAAACAGTAAGGAAAAACATAATCATCAATTCGTGTTTTTAATAAAAATGCAAACTTAATGCAAAGATTCTAAAAGTTATATACAAATGCCGGGCTTTTCTACCCTTTTTGCCCCTATATAAAAACAAAGTTGCCATATTATATTGCTCCCAAAACATCAAATGGAAAATTTTAAACTTTTAATTTCTCAGTACTCATCAACTAAATTTTGTACAGAACTGACACCAATTTAAAAATTCACAAAACATAACGACTTCTAAATTTTGCCAATTTTTCTGAAATGCTCAAAATAAACTAGACATTAAAGAACATTCAAAATTTTGCTTAAAAGGAAAGATAATAGTGGCCCTGGCCAGGTAGCTCCGTTGCTTAGAGCATCGCTCCGATACGCTGAGGTTGTGGGTTCGACCCCCAGTCACAGCACATGCAAGAAACGACCAATGAGTGCACAGATGAGTGGAACAACGGGTCGATGTTTCTCTCTCTCTCTCTAAAAACCAGTAAATAGAAGAACAGTAACCTTTCACTCATCCGTGGTGCATCAGGCACACACACACACGGAGCGGAGACAGTCCTGACCAGCAGCACAGGGAGTCTGTCTCCGGGGAAACAGGTTCGGAGGGCACAGGCCCACCCTTGTCCCCCGATCTCGAACAGGAGGCCACCTGGTAAAGACGGCCGGACGGCCCCCCTTGAACCTGCCTCAGTGCGGGCAGGATTCTGAGCACGGCCCCCGCCCTCGAACAGTCCCCTTCTCTGGAGAGCGTGGGTGGGACCTGTGAGTGCCGAGAGTCGCCGCCTCAAGTGGCAAAGGGGCGACTTAGAGCCCCGGGAGCCCTTTAAAAGCAGAGTTCTCCCCCGCCGGCAGCAGAAGGGAAGCCCGGAGGGCCGAGAGGGACCCAGGGAGCCGCTGCTCGAAGGCGGGGGGACTGGGGGACTGGTCTGCAGGCGGCCTGTACAAGGGAGAGAGGCCCAGGCTGGCAGCCGGCAGCAAACAGGCCCTGAGTCCTAGGACCGCATGGAACCTCACGCTGCCAACGGCCTGAAAGCTCGGAAGCGGTTCCTGCCCTGAGCCTCCGGACAAGCGTCCGACCCGGCTGGCACCCTGAGTCCAGCCCCAAGTCCAGCACGCACCAGAACGCCGATGGACTTCCCCTGCAGGGCTGTGAGCCAGTACACGGGTATCTACGGTACTTCGTTACACAGCAGAGAACATGAACGCACGACCCGTTCTCATTTTAGCAAGCAGAAGAGCAGCCAAATACAAAAAGCTACTTTCGTGAATTCAAATTGAACGTCTTTCTTACCTTCTGAGTCTAAACACCTCTCAAACTTCAAGGACAACTGGTAGGTGTCGTAGCACCGGACCCGAGGCTTGTAGGTGCCTGTAAGAAAGTCACTGTGATGTAAAACCCGAAGGACACGCTCATCGCGGTCAGGAGCCCGCAGACCTGCCGGATGCACTTCCTGCAGAGGTCAGCAGGGTTCGCTGCGACCGCATTCGAGGGGGAGAACTCAGAAGCCGCCCTCCCCAGTGTCCCGAGGGAAAAATGAGCAAGGATATTTAAAAGCGAGTTACAAACAATTGCCTGGGTGATGCTGTTCTTAAACTGCGGCGCACCGGACATTTGCACACTCACAGCTCTTCCTCCGGCCCTGACGAGGACTGTCAACACAGAGTCCCAGCGACACAGAACACTAGGTGTGTGACGTGGGAAATTACTGTATTAAACGTGACCCTTCTGGGAACTCGCACGCACTGCTGGTCGGAGGGTAACGTGGCCGGCCACTGTGGGGAAAGTCTGGCACTGTCACCAAGCGAGACACCCGCCCCCATGACCTGGCCATGTCCTCTGAGCAGGCCGGTTCACGGTGCTTTACCGGTAACGGCCAAAAGCGGAACAGCCGGGGCGCAGCACAGGGAGAAAAAAATACAATGTGGCACACGCTCCTGTAAGGAAACACTATTTGGTAGTAATAGTTTTGTTAAAAAAGGGCGAACTGCAGATAACGTGTGGAGCGCAAACACGCGGTCCCAGGTGAAGTAAGTCTCACGCAAACAGAGCACGCGGCGTACGGACGCATTTACATGAAGTTCTCACACAGGCTGCATTCATCTGCGCTGCAGACAACAACAGACAACAACAAAAACCAGAGCCGCGGCTGCCCGCGCGGCAGGAGCGGGGTCGACCGTGCGGGCGTGAGGGCGGCGTCCGGGGCAGGTGCAGCGGAGGGAGCGCCCCAACCCCGGCAGGTCTGGGCTCCACAGGCGTCGCATTTGTCCAAACGCATCCAACGGTACAGACCCGTGCGCTTCACTGTGCGTACACACACGTCTACTTCAAAAAGCCACAAACGAACACTGAACGCGAGCGAATGGCGCACGGGAGTGCTTCAGAGGGAGAGCGTGCTGGCAGCTGCAATGTGAGGACGGACAGACGGACACGGGCCAACCAGATGCAGCACACTGCTGGCGAATCCCAGTGATAGGTAGATAAACGGATGTTCACTACACAATTTTAAAAAATAACTCTACGTTTCGAATTTTTTTACAATAAAGTGTTAGGGTAATTTAAAAAGTGACCTATCCCACCATGATATTTCCTGATACGAGATGTACATAAATTATAACCAAAAGGATGCTTACCAGTTGCCAAAATATACTGTCCATCTTTTGAAACCTTAATGGTGGTACTAACAGTAGGCATTTCAAAATCCTGAATCAGTTCAATTCTTCTGCGGACATCTGCAGAGAGACAGAAGGGGCAGCTGACCCAGTGGTCACGTGACCAGGCGCAGGCAGCCAGCGCCTGCAGCGGTCCCACCAGCAGATCTGCGAGGCCCGTGCTTCCGAGCCCCGGGAAACCCACCGACAGAGCCAGCCCCACCTACCACACGGCACGGCTTCCTCGTGGCTCACACCTTACTTTTCCCCACTAAAGTATCTTGTTTTAATTTTTCAAAAAGGAAAAAAAAAACATCATTAACTGGAAAACATCAGGTTTTAAGACCTGGATGATGAGGGAATCGAATAAGCATTAAGCCACTACCATTATTCAATCGCGGCTAAGACAAAAATCCTACCATGTTCTTTCTAAATAATAAGTTTAAACCTTGGAAATCTTAAGTTATGTAAGAAACGGCTACCACGGTGCCTCTGTTGGCACTATGCTCTACGGCCAGGAGGATCCAGGCGAGAGGACGACGTGGAGATCGCTCTGAACCAAAACCCTAAACTGGTTCTCACAAAAACTGGCTGGTGTGGCTCAGTGGACCGAGTGCCGGCCTGCGAATCAAGGGTCACCAGTTTGATTCCCAGTCAGGGCACACGCCTGGGCAGGCCCTCAGTAGGGGGCGTGCACGAGGCAACCACACATTGATGTTTCTCTCCCCTTCTTTCTCCTTCCCTTCCCCTCTCACTAAAAATAAATAAAAAAATATTTTTTACGAAAGCGTAGATTCTTGCTGGCTGCTGTCGTAACAATGTGCCTATTACAAGGACTGTTTCGCTCTGGCCAGGTAGCCCAGGTGGCTGGAGCACCATCCAGATGTGCCAGTGTTGCGTGTTCGGCTCCCAGTCAGGGCACGTGCAGGAGGCAGCCAATGGGCGCAGAGACAGGTGAAACAGCACACAGATTTCTCTCTCTCTCCCCCCACCCTCCTTCCTCTCTCTCTAAAATCAATAAAGAAAAAAATAATTTTTTTAAAAAGGACTGTGGCCCATCATCGCTGCCTTGCCCACTAAATGTAACTGTAAGACTCAGAAGGACTGAGCAGGAGTGGCCCACGAGTCTGAAGACTCAGAACAGCTCCGAGACGGGCTGACGGGAGCAGCAGCGAGGCTCCGCTCCCTCTGATCCCCCTGACTGCTCCGGACGCTCTCTCGCACACCAGCTCTCTCGCACACCAGTACACTCGGCTGCAGCGAGCGCGCGAGGAGAAACCGGAGTCGGTCAGGTTACTGGCGCAGCGGCCTCTGTTCCCCTTTGACGGAAAGTCTTCAATTTCCAACGCCAGCACCACAGAAAGCCCGTAGTCTCTTCCAAAATGCTTGCCTTGGGCATGTATCTCTCATCGAGAAAACGCTGTGATACCTTAGGTCTTTTGATTTTTAGAGAATAACAAGTAGAATATACGAGAAGGTGAGTCATCCTTCATATATAAACAACTGTACTGGAGAAGACAGAATGGAAATCTGTCCAGAGTAATGTAAGGGCTGGTCTCGCATGCCTATCTTCCTGCTGCTGTAACTTGAAGAATCTAAATCTTCCGCAATGACCTTTCATTGTTCATGTTCGTATGTCCAGCAAGCAAGTTACTTTGTTCAGAATGACAACGGTCACTGTCTCTGTATCTCGAAAACTGCGAACGGACTCAACAAACGGAGACCCCGATACACCGGAGAACGCAGGGGTGGTGGAGCTAGTAGGAGACAGTCCCCCGGGGGTTGCGGACGTCCCTACGCATCTCGCCGGCTGTGGCAGCGCTGCCGGGCCCTGGCGACTCCTTTACCTGAGCCTCTCTCAGGGTTACGCACGCAGCCGGGAGCCGGACAGGCACAGCATCGCGGCTCCTCTGCACAAGGAGCAGGCCCCTTCACTGCTCGCCATCAGAGCAGCGCGCGTCCCGAACCCGGTCCTCCTCGGCTGCGCCGCGGACCCCCTGCGTGCGGACACCGTCCGGGTCATGCTGGCTGAGCGCCCCGCGGGGCTCCGAGCGAGGAGCACCGACACACCAGCTGACGCTCACGCTACGTGCCGTGTCACGTGGGCGACGGAGTCCTCGTCTCCCACCCAGGAGCACCGCATCTGCTGTTACCCACGGGACAGTGAAAGGCTAGCTTATCGGCTTTTAAGCAGTAAAATCAATCCCACGCCCACCAGGAACACATCGACCACGACAAAAGATTTCTTAAGATGGAAAAGGGCAAAACCTTGTTTCCCGCTGCATGTTTGCCAACCTCACTCAAGGATGGGAGCAGTGAAGACCGGCGGGGCTGTGACCTGGGTGTCGGGCGTCGCGGGGGTGGGGTGGGGAGGGGACACTCACCGACATCCTTCTTCTGCAGTGCTCGCTTCTTCCTGTCGGAAAGCCACTAAGGAAAACGGAGAGGCTTCACTTTAAAACATGCTGGCATGAATTGTCTCTCTGCTGGCAGAACTAACACGTGCTCACGTTTAAAAAACTTAAAACCTTATATACATATGTAACACAGAAAGTAAAAATATTCTGTAATCCTAACCCTACTGTTAACACATCTAGATTTTCTAGATTTTTTCTTGTACATATTTGCATATAATAGACGATAAATTTTTAGAACTACCATGTTTTACGTAAATCTAAAAAAAACAGTAAGCCTCAAACATTACATCTAATATATGGAACAGATTTACAGGTTTGTGTTAGCCTTTGATTTGACGTTAGGCAGTAATAGTTCAATTAGCGGGGATGTTAAAAGTGACGAGCAGTTGGATTCCTTCACATCAGCCTGACACCAGCAGGACGAGGGCATATTACTACCACGGCTGCCCCTCTAGTAGGGGACTCACTTCCTCTTCTCAGGAAGCGAGGCTCCACCTGGGGGCGGCCGGCACAGCAGCGGTCTCGTACAGCCCGAGCGAACAAGCTTGGGGCGAAGGAGAGGAGACGGGGGACTTCCATCTGCATTAGGGCCTGGGACCCCGAAGGGCCAGAAATCCCCAACACACGATGATGGGAAGGAAGGAAAGTTCCTTCAGGCGCCTCTGTGCGATCGGACAGCACCACAGCAGGGCACACGAGGCTGAGATCCACTTGGGGCAGGAACAGGTAAGTAAAAAGTTAAAAACAAAGTTTGCCAAGGAACGGAAAGGTGTCACTAATTTCAGCCATCGTTTCTGGACTCTGTAAAATCCTAGGTGATAAAGAATGGCACTTTACCACTGTCCTGTAACTTAATCAGAAACCGAGGGAAAGAGCTCTGGGAATGCTGGTGAACTGATTCTCACACTAAACAGACGCTTCACTGTTAAAAAGAAAAAAAAAAAGACCTCACTGGATCTGACATCTGAAGTAGCAAAAGAAACACAAGCAATTTGCTGATGAGTTAGAATTACTTTAAAAGAAAACTCAGAGAAACCACCAAACTAGAACACACAGCTGTTCACTCAACATTCCCACTTGACGTTCACTAGAACGTCAAACCTTAAGTACCGAAAATAAGACTTTTGATTCTTTTCGCCCACCACGTGCCCAGTTGTTCAGACCCCAAACCCAAGAGCTCTCTCGACTCCTTCCTGTCATGTCGACTTCTGCTCACCGCTGTCCCGCCCTCCAGCAGGTCCCACCGGCCTGCCTCCCGAGTCCCCCGTGTCTCGGCATCCTGTCTGCTACCTCCCCGGCCCGGGCCACCTGCGCTCTCAGCTGGACCACCTGGCTGGTCCCCACGCGTCTCTCCCCCGCTGTGGTCCTCTGCCACACGGCAGCCCCATTGAAAGCCCAACGGTGGTGACTTCCAGCAGCACCAGGAAAACCCCGACTTCTCACCCTGGCCTGCGAGGCCGGCTCTCCGGCCTCGTCTGCCCCCGTCCCCCCCACCTCGTTCCACCCATCACGGCCGCGCCTGTGCCTCTCAGTGTTCCCCACACGCCAAGTGGGTGCCCGCTACGGGGCATTTAGGCTTCTGTCCTCTCAGCACTGAAAATTCCCCCCATGCCTTCACGTGACCGGCTCCTTTTTACAGTCCAAGTGTCACCTCTTGTAAAGAGGCCCTCCCCGAAGGCTTTCTCCAAAACACCCCACCCAGAACAGCTCTCTGCAAGTCACTCATCACTCACAGCACCCATCATGTGATCAGAAGGGCTCCTGTCGGCTCCCCTATTAGCCCTTTTCCCCAACACGGTCCCAGGTACCTGGCACTCAGAGCAGGGCTGCCTGCACGAAGCCACTTCTCGACAACTGTGCAGAATGGACAAAACTAGAAGGCCCTGGTGTCTGGAGAACAGCTGGAAGCCAGGGAACTATTTAACCTGAACTCCAAGAAGAAAGGAAGGATCTGATCACTGGCTCCCCATCTTTCGGGGGTGGCCGCGTGGAAGAACAGCTGGGTGGAGTCTGACGTCCAAGGGCAGGCTGGGACAGCAGCAGCATGCTAGCAATAAAGCAGCGTGTCCTAAAACCACAATCTAACAAGGAATCTGAGGACGGACAGGAGCTTCCGCAAAAAGCGTCCTCTTGTATAGAAACCTGACCATCACTTATAAGAAGGAAACACCACACTTCAGAGCCTCGGTGTGTGACCCCGGGTGAGTCACCTCACTGGGGCCACTGCGTGTTGCAGGCATGAGAACACAGGGAGAAGCACCCATCTTCCCTGCCCCTTCCAACCCTGACGCTTAGGACCCTACGACACCAAGCGACGTGCAGCGAGTTTGAAACTGCCGCCCGCCCCTACAGCATCATTCTGCAGAGCCCAGGCCTGCCTTCGCCTCGCTCACGGCTGGTATTTCTAGAACTTGGCACTCAACAGGTACTCAACAAACACCCGGCGAACCGGCAGTGAAACGAGGGAGAAATGTCGTTCCATCAACCTGCCCCGGTTTCCTCCTCGTGGGACAGCGGCTGCGAACGTCCACGGGAGCCCAGAGGGACGCGTCCTCCGCTCGGCAGAACCCTACCAAGGTTCGCTCCAAGCTCACGCACCCTGCTCACCCCTCGGCCCCGCTGCTGGCGCGGCCACGGCAGCGTCCTCGGCTACCGGCACGGACAGCTCCCCGAGGGGCCCCGGGCGACTCACCTCAGGAAGGGACTTGCCGCAGCTGAGACTGTAAATCTTCACCTCGTTGAGGCTGGAGACCTGCATGGTGTCTCGGAGGAGCGGCGACCCACGCTCCGAGCCAGGTCGCTCCCACGAGCATCAGCTCCTAGGGACTCCGCGGCGCGCGGCGTGCGGAGTGTAGTGAGTGGCGTGCGGCGCCGGCCCTGGCTGATGACGCACTTCCGGCGCTGGGGAGGTGCCGATTTCCGGAAGAGGGAGCGTGGCGGAACTAGGGAAGGGGAGCGGCAGAGCGGAGTGGATGGAAATCGGGGGCGCGATGGGGCTGCTGAGGACCCCGCCGGGGACCCCACTGGCGAGGGCCAGAAGCCGCTCTTCTCTTTTCCACGTCCTGAGCGGCAGGAAGCGCTTAAAGTTGCTGCCCAAGCCCAAGTGTCGCAGTCCCGGGCGGGCGGGCCGGCGGTGTTGGGGCTGACCTGGGCTTCGCGAGCTGGGTGGCGGGGATTCAGAGTGGTAGTGTAGGATAGTGTGTGTGTGTGTGTGTGTCAAATTATATAGGTTTCATGTGTGTAATTCTATGATATTTCCTTTGTGTATATTGCATTGTGTTCACCACTCCAAGTCAAGTCTCCTTCCTTCACCATTTACTGCCCCTTTTCCCTCCTGCCTCCCCCACCCCCTTTCTGGTAATCACCACGCTGTTGTCTATCTATGAGGGGTTTTTTTTTCTACTTAATCCCGTTTTCACCCAGCCTCCCAACTCCCCTCCCCTCTGAGTAGCTGTCAGTCTGGTTTTTTTCCTGGGATCTCTGAGTCTGTTTCTATTTTGTTTGTTAGTTTATTTCGTTCATTAGATTCCACATGTGAGTGAAACCATATGGTACTTGTCTTCCTCTGACTGGCTTACTTCACTCAGCACAATACTCTCTAGATCCATTCATGCTGTCGCAAATGCTAAGATTTCCTTCTTTTTTGATGATTGCATTGTGTGGCTATACCACAGCTTTCCCTCCCCTTTATTTTTAGAGAGAGGGGAAGGGAAGGAGAAAGAGAGGCAGAGAAACATTGGTGTGTGAGAGAACCATCAATTGGTTTGCCTCTTTCATGCCCCCAGCAGGGACCCGGCCCACAACCCAGGCGTGTCCCTGACCGGGAATCCAGCCGGCCACCTTTCCCTTTTCCGGATGACACTCAACCCTCTGAGCTATGCCAGTCCGCAGCTTTTTTTATCCACTCATCTCCTGATGGGAAGTGCATTTTCTCTCCAGTGTTTCTGCAACCTTACATTACAAATAAATGCTCTTTAAAATGGATGTGTTAAAAATGATACTTTGGTCTGGGTTCATTAGACATTCATCCACTATGGAAGGAAATAAAAGGAAAGCATACTTTAAAAAAATACTGGAAGAAGGGGTGGAGATCAGGGGAGAGTGGATTTATACCTAATGTCCTTTGAGATGTGTGTGCGGCAGTAATGACAGACAGCCCCTTATACACACATTGTTTCCAAAGTTCACAAACTGTCCATCCTCCAGTTTCGTAGAGAACCTGTTTTATTTTTGCCTAGGACTTGAGAGTTCCTGGCTTAGATGAAAACTTGAAAGTGTGGGTCAACTGGGTTAACATGTAACCAAGAGGGTGATTCTGAGCACAGCCCATACCAGTTCATGGCAGGGTGAGGATTTCTGGGTTTAGCAATTCTGTCTATTTTAACTGTCAAAGTCCCAGTCCAAACTCTGCCTTCTGCCGGAGACTCTCTCTGAAAAAGGCTGCAGGACTGCCGTCCTCCTCAGGGGGGCAGCACGGCAGGGCAGAAAGATTCCGGGCTGCAGAGTGGTAACCAGGTCCTTCTTTCTGCAAGTCATAAAAATAGAAAATGCTTATCTGCCAAAATATGCAGGATAACTTCCAAGAAATTCTCAATGATTTTTATGCACAAAAACACTCCTTTTATTATTTTCAAGTGCGTATTGTAAAAGCCCATTGGCTGTAAAACCATAGTATCTGCCACTTTTTAAGTGCTGTGTAATAGAGATATAGAGATATATCCCAACTTTCATAATTAAGGGCCTCAGACCATTTCACTGCATTCAGTCCTGTGCCCCACGGATCCCTAGAGTTGCCTTGTTTCATTAGCATCGAGTTCATGATCCGGATTTTGAATCTGTGCCTGTGCTAATCCGGACTCAAATGCCTCGCGCTTCTCCGTACACCCACAGCCCGCCAGCTCCCCAGAACTCACCTTTTGAGTATTTTGCTCGTTCTCCTGTACGTTCACTGGACTGTATAAATACGTGCATGGCCATTATATCTTTTCTTGGTAGATTTGTATTATCAAAATGCAAGGAACACATCCTACAAGCACAATGGTAATGAACTTGGCCATAATGCTCTACCAAATACCCATGCTTCAGAGAGTTCTTCAGCCCTCTGGCTCCCTTAGGTCACCACCGCCCCCTCCCCCCCAGGCTAATTAAAATGTCATTTTTAAAGGGCCCGTAAAACTTTGCTATTTTTTTTAATTAAACTTGGGACAGGCTCCTTTTGAACATATTCTTCACTCTTATTTTCTTTCTCCCTCACTTTTATTACTATAGGAAAATTTTGTGACATATTTAAAAATTTAGTAGTGCCATCAACTCACGTATGGTTCACCTAGCTTCCACAATTCACACACGACCCATCATCCATCATGTTCCAGCTGTACCCTCACCGCTTCCTCATCCTTGGGTTATTTTGAATGATTTTCTAAAGAAACCAGCGGCGATTATCTTTGTAGTTGGATTGTGATGTACTTTCCTGACCACCCCCTCCACCTGGACTGGACGTCAGGACTTGTCGATTCAGCCGTGGGTTCCCTGACACCGCCCCAGTGCCTGGGATATAGCACACTGCCAGTAGACACGTCTTGGTAAAAATGAATCCATGAATTGATTACTCTTCGTCCTGACCCAAAGCCCTAGTTCTGTGTCCCACACGCGTTGGCCTTGGGTGATGAAAACTGCGTAGCTCTGTGCCAGGCTAGTGTTGTTCTGAGCACGTCCGTTGGCACAGCCAGTCTCTCCCACAGGAAGTGTCAGCGCTCAGAGTCAAGGACCACACGGGAGGGGCCGCAGTGCGTTCTGTGAGATAAAACAGAGTGTTCTTGGTCTTCCATGCCAGCACAGCTGTTCCCGCAGTCACTGGCCTGAGGGCTTGAGCGCTCTAGGATTGCAAAGGACAGCGAAGATCCTCTGGTGTTTCTCGCATCACCTCCAACACCGGCACTCAGGCCGCAGGCTGCCACGAACTCAAATATAATGTTGTATTCGATGCCTATGGTTGGGGCTGACAGCACAGGCTCCAGGGCCACACTGCCTGGTCCAGGTCCTGGCTACCTGGCAGCACCCGGATACAGCAAGTCAATCTCCTCTCTGCCTGCCTCTGCTCCTCATTCATACCCAATGGGCTGTTGTAAAGATAAAGGGATATATGTCATGGATCAGTGAGTCCAAGACGTCTATTTTTAACATCCTCGAAATAAGGATGTGGTTTGCGTGTCAGGCGTGTTTAGTGGACAGAGTTTTTTCCTCCGGTGGCACCGGAGGGAACGGTGCACCACAGAGTTAATGGGCCTTTAGACTCAGGAACGCACAGCACACGGGAGGCACTTGGAACAGTGCCCGACACGGGAAGTCCCATGTAAGCGTTAGTTATTGCCATTCACTCCTGGGAACCGGAGCACTGAAAATTGTTCCAGAAAAAAAACAGTTAAGTGGCAGACTGCATTTAACCTTAAACGTTCCTTTGTTCGTTGCCATTCTGGAAACCTACAAGGGATCTTCAAAATTCCTCTCCCAATTCTTTACCTCCAGGGCCAATCCATCTGGAATCCTTTCGGGGTTCCACCTGTCAGATGTCAGATTCATTCTCTCTGTCCCCACAGCCATAGGGGCCCAACCCTCACGCCCACCCACCTGGCCCATTGCAACCCTTTTATTCTGGTTTGCCCGCCTCACGTCTGTCTCCCAGAGGAGGCGGAGTCATCTCTCTAATGGGCAAACCCAATCCCGTCACACTCCGACTGGAAACTGTGTCATCCCTCACCCCCTAGACTCTCCACGAGGAATTACTTGTAGCTCGAGAAATGCCAGTCGCTCACTCGCCCTGTTCGTGCCTCTGCACCTGCTCCCCGGAGTGCTTTGCCCTCCCTCCCTGCGCGTACCTCGGAGACTCCTGTCCGTCCTTCCTCTCCGGGAGGCCTTACATATCTCAGTTCACATCGTGCTCTGTACGTAATCTCACTGCAGTTTTTCCTAAACTGAGGCATACGGTTGTGTCCTCAAAATAACCTGTAGGCTTTTTTTTTCTGTGTCAACAATAACCTTTTTCATGATGGGTACAAGCACCTCGGATGATCTGGGCGGCTATCTTCTGAAAAGCACTACCGCTCCGAGTCAGCCGCGAGTTGACATGTAAGTTCACAGCTCCTCGGGTACACGTGCCCCTAGTTCCAGTGTCTCGGGTCAGCCGCGAGAAGGAGAGGGGTGGTGTGAGGAGTCACGAGAGGGACGAGAGAGAGAGCCGAGTCAAAGTCCCGCGACGTCGTGCCTGCTGTGGGAAAGAAGGTCTTGCAGTCGATCAGGCAGAGGACAGAGATGGGAAGAATTAAATCAACCGAATCAAGCAGCGATAGAGAATGCACCTCGGGCACGGCACGGCCACGGACTCATTTAGCAAACAGCAGCTGGTTCTCATGCAAACCGCGTCCATCATCAAACTCATTGGAACTATATTGGTTCGAAGTTTTAAGGTTGTGCTTGAAATGAATGTATACGTTTATTTTGGTGTAGGAGACCTAAAAGCATAATAAACTTAGAGCTTGGTTTATGGTTCTACAGCTTTAAGGAAAACATTAAAAAGAATTAAGACCTAAGTGCAACGTGGTGTCCTGGACTGCCTCCCAGGACAGAAAGGGGACATCAGGGGGAAAGGTGACCAAATCCGCAGTTTGGTCACCAGCATCGCACCGTGTTAATGCCTTGGTCTGGTGCCTCTGCCGCGGCCGTGAGAGATGGTGGCGGCGAGGCCAAGGGCGGGTGGCGAAGTGCGCGTGGGGCTCTGCAGTGCGTCTGCGACTTTGCCGTCCTCCAAAGATGGTTGCAAAGTGAAGGTTTTTTAAAAAAAGAGTTAAGGCAACATTGGGAGTCTGAGATTTCTTTT